TCGGAGTTACCCGGTGTCCCCCGTGGGACATCGGAGTTACCCGGTGGTCCCCGTGGGACATCGGCCCGTGGGACATCGGAGTTACCCGGTGTCCCCCGTGGGACATCGGAGTTACCCGGTGGTCCCCGTGGGACATCGGCCCGTGGGACGTCGGAGTTACCCGGTGTCCCCCGGGGGACATCGGGTAACTCGACCTTGCAAGGGGGGGTCTGGGCACGAGTTACCTGGTGCCCCCCCGTGGGACATCGGAGTTACCCGGTGTCCCCGTGGGACATCGGAGTTACCCGGTGGTCCCCGTGGGACATCGGCCCGTGGGACATCGGAGTTACCCGGTGTCCCCCGTGGGACGTCGGAGTTACCCGGTGGTCCCCGTGGGACATCGGCCCGTGGGACATCGGAGTTACCCGGTATCCCCCGTGGGACATCGGAGTTACCCGGTGGTCCCCGTGGGACATCGGCCCATAAGATGGCTCCAAGGGGTCCCTAAGACTGGGCTGGTACATAACTCCGAGGGCCCTGTTGGGGCCCTCTGAGTGCCCTCTTGGAGCCCTCTTGGGCCCCTGGTTGGCCCTAGGAGGGCCCCAAGAAGGCCCCAGGAATTATGTACCAATCCAGCGGCCGCTGGTGCATAATTCCTGGGGCCTTCTTGGGGCCCTCTGAGGGCCCTCTTGGAACCCTCTTGGGCCCCTGGTTGGCCCATGAGAGGGCTCCGAGAGGGCCCCAGGAATTATGTACCAACCCAGCGGCCGCTGGTACATCACTCTTGGGGCCCTCTTGGGGCCCTTTGAGGGCCCTCTTGGAGCCCTCTTGGGGCCCGGGTTGGCCCTAAGAGGGCCCCAAGAGGGCCCCAAGAGGGCTCCAAGAGGGCCCCAGGAATTATGTACCAACCCAGCGGCCGCTGGTACATACTCCTGAACCCTCTTGGGGCCCTCTTGGAGCCCTCTTGGGCCCCTTGTTGGCCCACATGATGGCTCCAAGAAGGCCCTAAGAGGGCCCCCAAACGGGCCCAAGAGGGGCCCAAGAAGAGGCCTCAGAAACCGCTAGTAGGTGTCATCGATCAGCGCGTCTGGATGAGACCTCTCAGTGGTCTCTGGGGCGCGTCTTGGAGCCCTCTTGGGGCCCTCTGGAGCCCCCTGGGTGCTCCCAAAAAGGTTCCAAGGGACATCCGAAGGGGTGGAGGGGGAGTTGGACGGGGAGTGGAGGGGGAGGTGGAGGGGGGGCTGAGGTGGGTGGTGGAGGGGGGGGTGGAGGGGGGGTGGGGGGGTTGGTGGAGGGGGAAGGGAGAGGGAGAGGGAGAGGGGTTTGATTAGGAAACTGGAAGAGGTTTGACGACCACGACGACGACGACGACGATGACGACGACGACGATGACGGCGACAACCACGATGACGAGTGGGCGCCTTGGAGTTCTCGTGGGCCGTCTTGGAGGCGCCTTGGGGGCCTTTTGGACCGTCTGGAGGCCGTCGTGGGGCCGTCTTGGAGGCCTCTTGGGCGCTCTTGGGGCCATCTTGGGGGTCTCTTCGGCGGCACTGGGCCGTCGGCAGGCCGAAAACGTTAAAATCCATCAAGAGCCCACGGGAAATCAGCTGTCTTGGCCTCTTCGGGCCTTCCTGCAGGTCCCCTTGGAGGCTTCTTGGACTGCATTGGAAGCCTCTTGGGGGCCTTTGGGGCCGTCCTGGGCCATCTTGGGGCCATCTTGGAGCGCTTCGGGTGCATCTTGGGCCGTCTTGGAGACATATTGGGGCCGTCTTGGGGGGCTCTCTTGGGGCAATCCTAGCCGCCTTGGAGGCATCTTGGTGACCATCTTGGGCCATTTGGGCCGTCTTGGTGGCGATGTGGGCCGCACCTTCTGGTCCTTCCGAGGGGCAGGCGGTCTTGGCCGAAGGCCACTGGGAAGGGTTTGAAAATAACAAGAGCAGCAAAATGTCTGGCACGCCGTCCACCCCTGCGGCAAGCACAGGGGGCGGCGGATCCAAGACGCCTACGGCGAATCACCGCCGCCCCCAGCCTTTTTGAGAAGCGCCTATGTGGCCAAACGTTGGGCCCCAGTTTGGCCAAACTATCAGATTATGTTTTCCCCCAGCCGCTCTGGAAACTCTTCGGGGAACACTTGGGGGAGGCTGAGGGGGAGGATCAGGAGAGGGAGGAGGAGGAGGAGAAGGAGGAGGAGGAGGAGACCTCTTGGGAGCCTCTTGGAGCACTCTTGTGGGCCTCCTGGGGGCTTCCCGGGGGCCTCTTGGAGGCCTCTTGGGGGCCTTAGGCCTCTTGGGGGCCTTGGGGGCGTCTTGGGGGCCTCTCCTTGGCCGTCTTAAAGCGTTCCTGGCCCGTCTGACGGGTCTGACGCCGTCGGAAGCCGTCTTGGGAGCCTCTCTGAACCGATGTGGGGTCCTCTTGATGCGCTTCAGGGCCGTCTTGGAGGCCATCTTGGGCGTCTTAGAGGCCTCTTTGGGCCGTCTTTGGGGCCTCCTGGGCCGTCATGGGGCCATCTTGGAAGCCTCCTGGGCGCACTGGGGGCGAGGAGGAGGAGGAGGAGGAGGAGGAGGAGGAGGAGGAGGAGGAGGAGGAGGAGGAATAGGAGGATGAGGTTGAGGAGGAGGAGGAGGAGGAGGAGGAGGAGGAGGAGGAAGAGGAGGAAGAGGAAGAAAAGGACTGGGAAAAGCAGGCGAAGAGGGAGTAGGAAGAGAAATAGGGAGGAGGACCAGGAGAAGGAGGCAGGGGGTAGGAGCGAGGAGACACAGTCGGACAGCGAGAGACAAAGTCGGAGCAACCCCAAACCCCCAGAGTCTGGGGGCGCCCAATAGTCTGAGCAGCACCTTTTTCAGATGGAGAGCAGCATGATTTGTTTGCCACCGAAGCTCCTCGAGGAAGTCTTGCCATCACTCGGACGTCCACTACCCGTGCATGTTTTGGTTGCGTGTGTTTCCAGATGATTCAGGATGGTCCTCGTCAAGGAAAACGCACATGTCCGAGCGATGCCAAGGAGCACCCCCATGAGAAGTACTGCTTCTCTATTACTCCACCGATTGAATTGCTGCGCGCCGCTGCTGGTGGCACCCTCGGGAATCGGGCCGACCGGCGCTGGGCCGACATCTTCTCAGGGAGAATTCATGTCGATTGGTGTATGTGTGTGATTGTGTGTGTTCGCTCTTTGGTTCCTGATTTTGCACCTATCATCCTTGTCTTCTCTCCTCCTGCGCATATATAAATAATGCACGCTGGTCCAGCCGTGCCGAACAAAAAAAAGAAGTGTGCGGATCGGTTTGTTCGCGCAGTCCTCGACTACGCGCTCCTTTGCGCTCCTATGGGCAGTGGCGCCGCGCGCTACTTCAACGCATTGATTTGCTCGATTGGTCCTGATTCCTCCTCCCCTGCGCTCACCCTCCTCCTCGGTTCTTGGATGGGAGGCGAACTGAGGGAAGGAGCGGGTGGGGCCTGATGATCGCAGACTTATGTGATGATCGTGCGGGCAGATCTGCCTGGATTGTTGCATCGGCCACGCGGCTTGGACTAACACTCGACACACACACACACACACTCTTGGCGCATCTTGAGATCGTTAAGCAGGGACCGACCGTCCCAGCAAAGCAGTTTTTGCAAGAAATGCTCTAAGAACATTTCGTGGAAGCCACATAAAGGGCTCTTAGAAAATTACATGGCAGGCCTTCAGACGAGCCAGGACGCCTCGCCACTGCTGGAAGATCGGGTGTGCCCTCTGCTCTGCGTGCCCTCTCCTCTGTCTCTGCGTCCTTGAAGGGGCCCAGGGACACAAATAAACACACAACAATAACAGCATTCCCCAAATGTTCTGGGCTTTTGTCTTGCCCCCCACTTCCCATAATTTCCCATATTTTCCGGGGAATCGACGATTCACATTGTGTCTGTGTGTTTTTTCCCTCCTGAATCCCGTGGGCGTTCCCTCAGACGATCCGGATCCCTCGACGACGCCCCGGTGGGCGGCGCCAAGTGGCCCAGGACCGCCCAGCGCCGGCGAGCGCCAGCGGTGGGGTGGGCCAGAAGCGAACCGAGGCACGAGGGCAAGACAGAAGAGTCGGGGATGGACAGACCCCCCTTTAGTAAAACGTGGTTTGGTGAAAACGGCCTGATGCCCAAACCTCGCGGGCGCAAGCCTGGAAAATAGCGGCCACGGCGCCCTCTCGAGAACCGAAAACGGACAATTCACTAATCGACGTGTCACTGTTGGGGGTTCTGTCCACCCCCGAAAGAGGGCGCGAGGGGGAGAGTGGGAGGCGCCCGCGCGGACCACGGCAGCGGGGGCGGGGATGCCGCAGGAGATGCTGCACAATTACTGTCTATATGCGAGCCGCGCGCGAGCAGCGGGCTCCAGAGCACAGGTCTGCGAGCGCAGCGACCTCAGGGCCAGCTCCCTTCCTTCCGCGGCGAGCCCGGGGGGCGAAGGGAGAAGGAGAAGGCCTTCCAGAAGGCTCGGAAATGGCCCGGCCTGCTGGGAAGCTTTCTCTGAGCCTGCCCCGAACACGCGGCGCGAGCTCTCAGATGGCGCGAGGGCTTCAGAGAGGCCCCGCCGCCTTCTGAGGCCTCCTCCCTTTCGGACGCCTGGTGGCCTTTGGGCCATGCCTGGGCCCTGCGGTGGCCGCTTGCGGCGACCCGGGCACCCCACGGAACGCCCTCGGCCGAGCGCAGCCGCTGGAGCGCACCGGCCCGAGGCTGGAGAGCATCGCCGAGCAACGGCGGACGCGCGCGCAGACCTCGAACCTCGACGAGCCCGAGGCCTGCCCTCCCGCTCCTCCTAAAACGACGCGGAGATCGGGACAAAATCGGATCGGGATAACTCGAAATCCCTGAGAATCGGCGGGTTTGGAGGATGTATTGGGCGCCGCGGCCGCTCCAGAGCGCTGCGGAACGCTCTGAGAGCGCTCCGGAACGCTCTGGAGCGATTTATCCCGATCCTAGCCCTGTTTTATCTCCCCCTCGCTCGCCGCCGACCACGAGCCCGGCCCCGCGGCCGCGCGGTGCCGCGCGGCCTCCGCGCCGGAGCCCCCCGCCTTCTGCGGCTGCGGCAGGGGCGCCACGCCGCCCGCGGCCGCGTCCTGCGGGGCGCAGGCTCCGTGCACCGCCCTCGCGGGCCCAGGGGTGGCCCCGGCCAGGCACGGCTGTGGCGCACAGTCGTCGTCGGTCGTCGTCGTCGTGGTCGTCGTCGTCCTCGTCGTCTTCCTCGTCGTCGTCGTCGTCGTCTTCGTCGTCTTCCTCGTCGTCCTCGTGTCAACCCGTATCGAAATAAAGATGCGCGGTGAGGGTGCAAGGAACTTGGAAGGCCATGTCGACACCTTGCCAGCGGGGCGCGGCCAGCGAAAGCGGCCGAGGATGGGCCGAAGGGGCAACGATGCACGGGTACCCTTGGGAAGGTTGCCCATCCTTCTTATGCGGGTTGAGTGTAATCCTCCCAGACCCTCGGAGTGTGGTGGTCTACAGTCAGCCCGTATAATAAGAATGCAAGGTAAGGATGCAAGGGTCTCGGAGGGCCATGTGAATGTTTTTCGAACGAGGTCGGCCAGCGAAAGCGGCCGAGGATGGGCCGAAGGGGCAAGGATGCGAGGGTAGCCTTGGAAGGTCGCCCACCCATACTGCACGGGTGGACAGTAGCGCGTTCAGTCTTTCCTCTTCCAGGACCTCTCTTCCCTTCGGGGAGGGGTCCCCTCCCTCCCCTCCCTGCGGTTTTTTGGGGCGGGCCACGATCGGTCAGGGCACCCAAGACGGCTCCAAGAGAGCCTCGGATGCTCCAAGATGGCCCCAAGATGGCCCACGATAGCCCCAAGAGGGGCCCAAGAAGCCCCCCCCAACGGCCCCAACAATGCCCAAGATCGGCCAGCCCACGAGCGCCCCAATAAGCGATTTTGATAGACCCATGGGGGACGGAAATTTAGGACCCCCCCTCCTTTGATCGACGGCTTCCAATGAGTATCGTTTAACCGATCCCCATCTCCAGCGGCGTGGCCTGGGCCCTATTGGCCGACTTACCCCCCTGGATGGGGATCTAGGCCGTTCCCTTCGGGTTTCGAGGGGTGAATCCCCAACTGGGGGGGTAATTCGGTGGGGGTCTCGAAGGGGACGGGGATGGGGATGGGGATTGCTTAAACGATACAGATCCCAGCTGGCCTCAGGACGCAGGCCCTCCAGGGCTCCTGAGAGGGCCCCAAGGAGGGCCCCGAGAGCGCCCTCGGTACCGCGGACTCTCGGGGACAGGCGCGCAACGAGAAGAACAACATTTCAGCCTCAACGACCGTCGGGCCAAGCGTTGAGGCCCGGCGAGGCCTCGCGTCGGCAACGGTTTCCACGACTCGCGCTCCGCAGACCGACTCCCCGCCCCCCTGACGCTGACGCTGCGGGCCGATCCGGCGTCGTGGGACCGAGGCGGGTCCCACGACGCCGGATCGTCCTGCTCCTCCTCCTGTTGTTCTCCCCTCCGTCGTCGTCCTGCTCCTGCTCCTCCTCCTCCTCCTTCTCCTCCTCCTTCTCCTCCTCCTCCTCCTCCTGTCCGTCGTCCTCCTCCTCCTCCTCCTCCTCCTCCTCCTCCGCCTCCTCCTCCTCCTCCCCCTCCTCCTCCTCCATCCTCCTCCTCCTCCTCCTCCTCCTCCTCCTCCTCCTCCTGCCTCCTCTTCTCCTCCTCCTCCTCCTCCTCCTCCTCCTCCTCCTCCTCCTCCTCCTCGCGCATTCCGCCCCTCCTGCGCCCATCTTCCTCCACCCACTCCTCCCGCTCGCGCGGGAGGGGGTGGCGTGGCAGCAGGCGGCATGCTCCAGACGTGCCGCTCTGGATGAACTCTGGCCTGCACGTCGCAGTTAGTGTTTGAACATCCAATTCGCTGCCAAGCTCACGGGGGAAAGGAAGATGGCATGGGGCATGGCCAGCAGCAGCAGCAGCACTAGCGACAGCGACTCCACGCAGCCATCTGGTTCATAGCCCCCTCAGCGAGGTGTACATGAAGCATCGAACATCTCAGCGTTGAGTCGAATGTGAGAGCCGTAAAGGGGAAGAGGGGAAGAAAGAGAAAAAAGAGGATGAGATAATGGCAGCTGTGTCCGTAGACCGTGACTGCGGCCACATGGCTCGGCCTAGCTTGGCTACGTCGATCTACGCTGAACTCAAATCAGCACCAGCCGAGGTTTGAAGTGCTCAGTGTGTTATGTGGGTGAACCTCGGGGCATGTGCGCCCAGGGGGCTGCACCACTTACTCGTCCTCCCTCATTTCTCTTTGCACACATCGTGTGCTGGCCACATCTGCGCTTGAAACCTCGAGATTTGGCTGTCAAGGATGCGCGCATGCAACCTCGATGTAGGATGACGATTGAGAGGCCACTCGTGGGGAATGGTAGACCGTGGTCTGCGGCCGGGGATGTTGTTGGAGAGGACAGTCCAGCAATCTTCATGACGACGACGCCCGCGAGCAAGCCTCGGATCCAACCTGTTGATCATCGCCCGGAGCGCGTTGGCGTGCCACACACTCCCAGGCATCTCTGAATCGCCAGTGGCGATTAAGAGCTGCCTGGTGTTTTGGCCGGCGGAGCGCCTCACGCTCTTGGAGGATGCGTTTCTGTCCCAGGTCCGACCGTACTCGGGCGCGTCCCAGGTCCTAGGCCCGCCGCGCCTCCCGCGCGCCGGGCGATCGGCTTGCAGTCTGCAGGTCGGTCGGCCGTCGTCGTCGTCGTCGTCGCCGATGGCGTACTCCAGATTTCGTAATAAAAGGGAGGGGGTCTGGACCCTCCAAGACAAGCCATTTCAGACCTCCCCCGTGGGAGAACCCTCCAAACATCGTCCCCCGACCCCCCAGGCCCTCCAAGATGACCTGGAAGAGACCCCCCCCCGGAATGAGACCCCCCCCCCTTCCTTCATTACGAAATCTGGAGTGATGCTGCATGGTGCAACATTGCGCCACAGGAGCGCGCGAGCCCACAACGGGCAGCGAGAGGCCGAGGCGGCGAGCTGTCCCCGTCTCCCAGCGAGCCCGCCGCCGCGCCGCAGCTGCCCGCCTCGTGCGGCACGGAGGGTCCTGGGCGCGGCGGCGTCGGGCGCCGAGCGACCCTCCCCCGCCCGCCGCCGCGGCGTCGAGGCCGTGGCCAGCGCCTCCTCCCGGGAAGGCCAGCATGTACGCCTGCCGCTCCTCCCCCTGGCCATTGCTCGGAGGTCCATTCCCTGTGTTTTTGTTAGATCTCGTGCGTGTTTTTTTCGCCAAGTGAGCAAGGATGCTCCTCGATGGTCCTCGCCGAAGGAAACATGCACACGTCCGAGCGATGGCAAGCCCCAGACCTCTCCCAGGGGTGCGCTCTGAGCAGGGACTGCGAGGAGAAGCCAGCAGTGGCGGCGAGGGCCCAAGATGGGGCCTACAAAGAGGCGAACCCCAGGGAAGGGGAAGCGGCATCGGTGCCCTTGCCTCCCCTGATCTGATGGGCAACGATGGGGGGGTCAGCTCAGAGGGAAAGCATCCACCTGAAGTCGGCGATACATCGCCGATAGATCGGCGATAAGCCCACGATGGAAAATCCGCGCGCCCTGCAGCTCCGCCGTGCCTCCCAGGAGCCCACGAAAGCGGCGACAGTCGCGCAGTTCGCAGTCCCCATGGGAGCCGCGGAGCCCTGCCCTCCGCCGTGCCTCCAAGGAGCCTGCGGAAGTGGCGACAGCTGCGCAACTCGCAACCCCCGAGAAGCCGCACGAGATGCAGGAGGGCGCACAGGATGCAGTAGAAGGTATGCGGAGGGGTTGGCGAGGTTGCGCGAGCAGTGCTCTATTCAGAACGAGAACCTAGCACTGGAGCGTTGGGAATGAACGGATTCTGCGAGAGCACGAGGAGATCCAAACGAACCACTCCGAAAGTAATCAACGTAAACGCAATGCTACTGAGCATAACTAGAACCTGAGGGGAGCGTGAATGAATAAAACCCGACATCGCGAAAATGCCCATGGGGTCCCCCCTCCTGCTCCGATCCCCCTCCCTTTCCCTTACCAGTCCATTTCCGCGCATCCTATATTGCGAGCCCCACTTCGCGATTCCACAGAGGCTTCCCACTGCGATTCCCTGACCCCAGCCTCCCCACCAAGGCCGACCGGATACGTCGCGATCGACTTCGGGATCGACTGGTGGAGGCTCGGCATCGACACCACACAGAAACAGCACAGCGCCGATACGCTGGAGGCCTGCGCGCCGACGGGCACCGCCCACGTGTACTCGCTGCTGGCGTAGCCTCCACGCACGTGTCTTGCCCATGGAGAATATGGCGCCCCCATGTTAGATGCCCATCCTCGGCGCCAAGCGCCTTTCGCGCACGGGAGAGCACATGTCCCGCCGTGGCGCCTACACCATTGTAGGCCTCCCAGATGGGGTCCAGTAGATGGGGTCGGAGGATTGCGACGCATCCCCAATGCATCGCCGATGCATCGGCGTGGAGAAGCACTGGCTTTACATCGAGCCGCATCTGCGATGCATCGGCGATGCGGCACGATCCTCCGACCCCATCAACCCCGACCCCATCTAGGAGACCTCGAGACACACGCCGAGGCGCATGCCAGATCCCCCCCTCTTTGGCGCCCGCCCCCCCCTCGCGCGCGCGCTTCTGCGCGTCGGAAATCCGCGGGCCAAGCCGACGCACCTCGGGCGGGTGGTAATGCGTGGTGACCCCCCGTTGCAGTCAAAAACCCTAGTAAGGACGCGCGGCAAGGACGCAAGACCCCTGGAAGCCGAAGTTGGGATTTTTTCGGGAGCGGCCAAGAAGGGGGTGTCCAAGAGGGGGGGTGCAGATCATGGCCGGCGGCATGTGCGCGGCCCAGCGGGGGGGCCAGGGACGTAATGAAATAAGAAGGGGCGCCATGATATCTGGGGAAATATCATGACCCCCGCCATGATATCCACCCCCCCCTAGTCATCACCCCCCTCTTTTCCGCCCCCGATTTCTGGCGCGGCGGACGACGAAAACCCCACGGACGCAAGAGCAAGGAAGCGCAAGGACGCAAAAAGGTACCCTGAGCAGAGCCGCGCGTCCTTAGTAGGGTTTTTGACTGTAGGGCGCCCTCCTGGAGCCGGCAGGGGCCCCGAAAAGGAAGGGCCTCCTTTTCACCCCCCCAGTTATCACCAGCCTGGAGCACATCCCTATCCCGACGCTGGGCATTTTCCTCATCGCAGTGCCAATCTTAGGGATCCCCTTATGTTTTGAGGGCGCATCCCTGAGATTTTGTAATCGCCTGTTGGCGTGTCACGCTTAGGGATAGGGCTAAGTTCGAGGCTGGGAAAGTCAAGTCACCCCCCATCGCCACCCGCCCGAGCACCCTGCTCTACACCCCTGCTGGTCCAAGGCCACAGGCCCGACCAAAACTCGGCTATGCGCAAGAGTGACCCTGGGTAGGAGTGACCTTTGGTGCGCGGCTCTGGGGGGGCCGCGGGGAGGCCAAATCCAGGCGCGCTAGCCGCTGCTACCGTTTCGCGTTCAGCCATCTGGGGGCCCATCTGTGCCCGCACCAAAGGTCACACCGGCGAAAGGTCACTCTTGCGTCTAATCGAAAAACATAACCGCGGGTCGGACCTCGTACCGGGCAAAACACGAAATGGGAACACAGGCAGTTGTGGGAGCCGTCGTCGTCGCGGGCTCGGCGCTTCCTGGACTGAGTGTCCCGTCGCTTATTTACAGCCTGCTCTAAGGCCCGACCACAGAAAGAACCCTGGGTCGGAGCTCTGACGAGGAAAAATACGAAACGGGAACACATGCAGTTGTGGTTGCCGTCTTCGTCGTGGGTTCGGCGCCTCCTGGACTGATTGTCGCCTCTGTTTTTATAGGCTTCCTTCGCGAAGGACGGGAGAGCAACGCATCTAGGCATACAAGCGAGATGCAGACTTCGTATCGTGTATGGTTCAACTCGGCGGTCACTGAAACCAGCCATCACAAAAAAAGTACAGACCCTGGAGGACCCTGAAGGCCCGGCGTCGTCCATCCTTGGGGGGGCGGGCAATGACGGGCAGTGCATCCTTGCAAAGCGCCATGGCCGTCATGACATAGAAGGCCCGGATGGGAAGAGCGGCGGCGAGGCGGCGGCGGCGACGAAGACGACGACGCCGCCTACGCCGACGAGGACGACGACGACAAAGTCGAATTCGACGACGCTCATCTTCTTTTCCTCCTCCTTGCCTGCCCGACCTCCTTCTTTCGGTCGGAGACGACCGCGGCGATGCCGACAACGAATCCTGTGCAGAATGAACAAGAACTGCTGTTGGACTTTGTAGCCCTTGTTTCCGTGCGCATTTCGGTCCCCCCTCCCCTCCTCATCCCTCCCGGCCTCCTCGTCGTGCATTGTTGCTTGTATTCCCAGCTCACTCCCCACATCCAACAAGCCTCGTCAAAAATATTCGGAAATCGAAATTCAAACCCTGGAGCATGATGCTTTCGGGCACTTGTCACACAGGGCGCTCTTCAGTGCTGACAGGGTGGGGTCAATTTTTGGACAACACCGCGTCCGAGTCAACAGGCATCCGTCAGCACTGGCGCAGCGCTGACCCCACGCATCAACGAATTCAAAAAGCTTCTCTTCATGCTTGACGAGGCTTACAAGATGGGGTTCATCGATATTCCAGGCTGTCTAGCTGCGAGAGCGAGACCGCCGGCCCCGTCGGGACCGCAAGCGCTCGTGCCGCTACGTGCTGCTGTCTTCAAAGAAAGGCCCAACTCGAAGACATGTCTACCACTCCTCAAGTTGGCCACATAACTCATCCCTCACGGCCTCCTCGTCGTGCACCTTTGCTTGCATTCCCAGCTCAAGCCCCACACCCTAAGATGGGGTTCATCGATATTCCAGGCTGTCTAATTTGAAGGGGCCCTGGGACACACAAATAAATACACACACATAACAGGATTCCCCATGCTTTCTGGGTTTTTGTCGTCCCCCCCACCTCCCATCTTTTCCTATACTTTCTGGGGAATCGACGATTCATTGTGCCTGTGTTTTTTCCCCTCCTGTCTAATTAGCTGGTTGTCCGGAGGGAGGAGGGAGGAGGAGGTGGTGGAGGAGGAGGCGGAGGAGGAAGAGGAGGAGAAGGAGGAGGAGGAGGAGGAGGAGGAGGAGGTGGTGGAGGAGGAGCAGGCGGAGGAGGAGGAGCAGGAGGAGGAGGAGGAGGCCCACGCCCTGCAGGGGGTCGAGCAGCCGCTGGGCCTGCCCCTGCGGCGGCTCGCCCGCAAAGGTGCCTCTCCTCGGCCCCTCCCCCCCCCGAGGAGCCCCAGGACCGGGGGGCAACGAAGAGGGAGGGGCACAGCAGAGGGCAGGGCAGAGCTTCAGCTCACGCAGAGGGCAGGGATAGCAGGAGGGAGGGATAGCAGAGGGCAGGGATAGCAGAGGGCAGGGATAGCAGAGGTCAGGGTGGAGCATCTACGGGGCCTGAAAACGACCACAGCCACTGCTTCTCTTTTGCTGCCGCCCTCCAGCCAGCAGAAACACAAAGCAATGGCTGTGGTCACTTTCGTCAAGCTTTTGGCACCAGGGAAATGACCACAGCCACTGCTTCTTTTTCGGCCGGCCGGAAGGCCGCGCAAAAAAGAAGCAGTGGCTGTGGTCATTTTCCCGTCCCGCAGCATCAGCTCACGTAGCTGATTTTCCCAGCGCCTCCCGGCGCCGGGAGGCGCCCATGCATCGAGGAATGGGCCGGGCGGCGGGGCCGAAACCAGCTGCGCATGCAGGAGATATCGTAACCCCCCCTTTCCAGGCGGCCCCAGCATCGAATCGATAAGCCGGATCGGGTCGACCGGAGCATCGAATCGGCAGAAGTCGGCAAAAGACGGCAGCCAAATCGAAATCGGCTGAAGTCGGCACGGCCAAACCGGATCGAGTCGGAAACCGGACCGCGTCAAGCCGGATCGGAATCGAAATCGGAAACCCCCCCTGGGGGGGGTTTGGGTTTTTTGAAACCCCCCCTGGGGGGGGTTTGGGTTTTTTGAAACCCTCCCTGGGGGGGGGTTGGGTTTTTGGAAACCCCCCCTGGGGGGGGGTTGAGGTTCCGGGTTTTTTTTGAACCCCCCC